TTAGTCACATGCAGGAGTTAGTCTATTATGTGTGAATGTAATATTATTTATTTATTTATAAAAACCTGTAGTACACATATCCATACTTACTATAAAAGAAAGCACTTAGACAATATACAAAGCCAAAACAGATTACATTGTTAAACAAAATATACGAAACAGAAAACACAAGTCAATTTAAAAGAAGTACATGAATGGATAAAAAAAAAATAAAATGAATCAATAACCAAAGTACAACTTAATATTTAAAAAAAATTGTTACTACTGCTAAATATAGTCAGTGTATCGCTCCCTGAGGTGGCGGAAAGGTAAGGTGAAAAATGTGGACATAATTTGTATTTGTATTGTTTTCATTAGCTAAACCCGAATTAATTCGTAATTCAAGGATCCCATTGTCTTTAATTTCCTTTGAACAAAGTGTTAGTTTACGAAATCCCGTCTATATGTTTCAACTCTGTCTGATGATTTGATCACCGCTGATTGATTTAAGCTCCTTGCGCCCTTTCCGGCCCTTTTCAACGTTTTTTTTACAATATTTTATTCGGCGCCACGACGATGACAGGTCTTCTGTGATTGAGTGAGTGTCAACTTAATTAATATTATATTTTTGGAGTAACTGTCCTTGAACTTTTTATATTAGAGTTAATGTTTAATAAGATCTTTGGCATTGATTTGCTTATCATAATCTTCATTTTTTGTTGCGTTGAAGCTTATGTTTTTTTAGGTAATAAATTATCGAGATTTTATTGATATGTCCACTTTACGTAATTCTTTATAAGATATTAGATATTAGGAATGTACTAATAACATCCCTTTTAACTTGTGAATTAGATAAAAAATATGTTTTTAAATTTCTTCAAAAATTACGAACGTAAAAAAAATAAGACTAAGCGCGTACTGTGACTTACAAATGTCATTATCCAATACATGCGAGACATACTTAGCTCGTAAGTTTCGGCCGATATGTGTAGTTATCTATACTGATATAATCTGTGGCGTTAACAGTTGTAACAATCTTCAGTAAGTCATTAAATATCAGTCAAAAGATTTAACTGCGTTTTTACGATCGCAATCCGATACACTTTGTCTTTTTTACGATAACATTAATTTTTACATACGTTTTTATTGTTCCCACATTCTTACGATTGTATAACTGTATTGACTATAAATTATTTTATGTATAAACAAGAAAATATTTTCCCGAAAATAACCAACCAACTGTTTATCGAAATATCTAACCAAGTCAACTTAGAATCATTCAAAAAAGTGTGTACCACATTGCTAAAAGGCTTAGAACGTACTTAAAAAGCCTACTGTCGTTGTGATAATTGATGGATGGCAGGATCACTGGTCTTAAGCCTCCTGCACCTTTGCGTCCGGTTGTATATAAAAAGCGAATTTCAAACACACGTATATATTAGAAATTACCATTCCTGTAGTTTGTCTTTAGTACACCTACCTGTAATACAGAAGAATAATTGTTGGTATTGTTACCAATAATATCATGATTCCCAGTCCCGCCTTAACTCACCGTTTTTATTAACACTATCAACCTATAAAAATACCGCTGTACTGCCTTTGCCATAAGTGAATTTGCAATTACTGACATAGGGCTGTCTGCTATTAAACCTAAAGGGAATTCTTTTATGACGAAGTAAATATTTAGGTATTAGAACTACCTATTCGTATAAGTCCTGTTGTTGTATTTATTTCACATAACTAATTACGGAAAATGGAAATATAATAAGGCTCCAAGTAAAGGAAAATCTATTCAATTAACACCATTATTTAAAGAAAAACTGAGTTGTTCTTTTCGATTAGTATTAATATTATACATTTATGTTGAACACATACAAAAAATAAAGGCTATTGACAGCCCTGTTCGGTCGCGCGGTCTCAGACAATAATAATACTTCAACGCTATCTAAATGGTGTTAGAATTGTTTTCATCAATAACGCACGGAGTGTGGATTCTTGTAGTTTGACGTGCGGGGTTTTTTAGTGAATTTATTGCTCCGTGCGTAGTGATGAGAGGTTAGTGCTCCGACACATAATAAATCGTACGTCGTGAGTGTAAACTGGCGTTAATTTGACGATTTGTTGCGGACTTCGCTTAAATTGCATTGTATGGTAATTGTCGTTAGGTATAAATGCTGAGCGAATTTTCTTAAGTAAATGGTACTTTCGAAACGGAGAAATATTATAAATTTATATTTTTAATTAGCATTAGCCTAGTAATAGTAAAATTATTTTTAAATGCGATTTTAGATGCGTAAAAACCCTTAAACTACCTATATAGCTTCACACATTTGATCAAACTAGAAAATGATATTGGTACCTGATAAATGTGCTGCGTGCAGAGTCAATAGGGTGACAAAGCGTTGCATGTCCCCCGCCAATGTCCCGGGACGGCCGACAGCGTGTTCACACGATCAGATTGCGTTTGCTTTATAGCACCGAAGGGATCCCATTAGTACTGGCCGCTGCCTGAATTGCCTAATTAGAATTACACGGTGTGCGAACTGGTTTTTAGTTTTCGCTATTTGCAGACAATCATGATTAGCACTGAGGCTTGCTTTCTTTGGATACGACGTGGTTTATTGATACGAATAAATATTCGTTTGTATTTTAATGTTTGCGGTCAAATAAAGTTGGTTGTAAGAAACGTATACAATGAAATACAAAGAATATTAGGCAATCAAAAGTCCTGGTGATAACAAGTGCAATGGCACCAGAAAACCAGAATATTATCCTCCCATCTCATTTAATATGGCTGTGATTAAAATACAATCTTGTTTGAGCGTATTTATGAAAAGTGCAGTACCTGATAAATGATCTAAATATTTTGAGCTCATCCCGCCTCGATCCATAAAACGTACAATTTATACATATTTTATTTTATCGCATCAAAGAAATAAACAGGCGCTCCGCGGTATAACACTTTATGCAACGGCATTATCTGAATGGTATGAACACCCGTGGAATGTACACATAAAGATATCAGTTCCGTAACATGAAAGCATTATCGTTGAAATATCGATACAATTTCCTTGATCTGTTAAATAAAATCTCGTTGGTTGACGTTTTGTTTAAATTTATGCGCGCGCGTACATCGAGAGGTTGTCGTAAAGTTGAGGACGTTATGGTCACTGATAAGTGCGCCGGGAGACTGTCCCGCCTGACATGTTTATTGTGGACACCCTACCGGGGCCGACTTTGCGTTTTTATTGCGATAAGCTTAGAGTGACTAAATCCTTTTTAGTGTTTACGCGTGGTCACCATGACATTGACGTTTGCAATGATATTCAAATTAGTAAAACCTATTCTCTTACAAGTAACTTAATACAAATAGTCATTAAATCTGTACTTTTCCCTTGATTTAATAATTATCGCAGTCTGTTAAAAGTGACAATTGCTTCACAAATATTTATTCAGAGTGTAACAATCGATCATGAGGCGTCGCAAGCGCAGATAAGATATTATCGAATAAATATTATGAGATAGCCATTAAAAATTATATTAATAATTGCCACTAATCACGTGAGGAACTATTTCTATTTGATGATTTGACTGTCTGTCATTAAAGTATGTTGTCAGGAAAAAGATATATATACATATTATTGTATTAAAACAAAGACAAATAATGGCGCATTTCGTTTAATTGTCTGTGGTCGATGTAGTCCAATCAGAGATAAGAGACACGATGTGTCATTTCATTTGACAATTTACAATCAAACGAAGCTGTCTTTTTCGGCTTCGTGCTACGTCCTGAAATGAGGACGTAACGTATCCACGTCACGTCACGTAAAACTTCGAAAGCAAGTCGTAAAAAGTAGAAGAATCTAACTATGTATTTATAATTTAATAATCATTCCCGAAAAACTTGAATGTCACCTCATTTGAAGTCGGTTAAGGATCGGTTTTTATGCGTTTTAATGCAATATTAAAACCCATGCGATGATTGATGCGTCACACTTTTTCTGTCACTCTGTCGCCAGTCTGTCGCCTCCCTCTTCATCCATCACACCCCTTTATCAACACTTTGTTTATCTCATGTGTAGGTGTGACTTATTTTTAAGATTAGTTTAACGTGGGATGCTTGATTGTAGAGATGATGGAATTTATTGCACCGCGTGTAAATTAAATAGATTAAAGGCCGATAAAAATATCTCAATATTTTAAGACCTTACTGTTTATAAACATCTAGAGAAAATATCATCTTCAGAAGACTAGCCATCTTAGTAAGATGGCTCGATTAGAATAAGAAAGGACGTATCAAAGGAATGTATATTCGTATAGAAGTTTTTTTTTTCAAACATCTTTTTGATTTTAGAATGCAACAATATTTTTGAATTTGGAATGCAATAAAGAGAAATCAAATATTGAGTACTGTAAATGCATCAGCCTACGTATTTTGATAACAATTGAAGGACAGCCCATAAAACTGTTTTAACATTTTCATTAAATAGTAACCTACCTGTCACCATTCCCGTGCCATTTGTTGAACATTTGATCAGTTTAGATGCATGCCATGGACCAATATAATTGGTATTGCATGCTAGTCCTCCATAAACCCGGTTCGCTAATAAGCCTTGTCCTCGGAAACAAGGTGCAAACACTCCTTTACTACTAATTTTACTACTGTAATTACTTACAAGAATCCTCGCAATGTTACCTAAAACCTAGCTCCTGGGTACGGATATTTGAAAGTAGAACTTCGTTTACAAACAAAAAATATTTTGATCTTTTCTCTTCAGATCGGAAATAATTAAGAAGTTACTCCAATATAGCAGAAAGTAAAAAATACACTGCTTAGCATAAATACTGTTTTGTATTGTGAATTTATAATGAGCATTTATCAATTACCTACGTATAAGATGGTTCTTTGATTTGATTATAGCATTTGATTGACAACAGCAAGCATCGACCTCGTTGACACTCTATTGTGAGTGTTACATATGTTTTGACCGAAATGTCATCGGTGATAACAATCCATTGTGTCAGATAGACCCTGGATGTATGCCAATATTGGGTTCAACTATAACGAGCTGATTTGTCAATCGCATATCGCATCGACGGCCATCTTGTTTGCGTGTAAATGTCACCTGCGCCCGACCAATTACAAGGCTGCGCGGGCGCACTTGACGTATACAGCGTACCTCTCGATACCATAAACCTTCGCGCCATTTATAGGAGGTGAAATCTCGGATCGTTCCAATTAATGCTAATCCGATGTTGAAGGCTGGAAATAAATCGACACACGACAAGAATTCCTGATCTGACGCCTTTGGACGAATGAACTCAATAATGGCCTGCTTTGTTGAAAGTATACTTATAAATATGGCTTTGTGATTGGGAAGAGTTATTTAAATATTTTTACCTCTGTGTAATTCAAGTAAATTAATTTTATAAATTACAAATGTATTACTATATGAAGCCTTTACAATAATGATAAGTCATAAATCGCATCACGGAAACTCGAAATAATAGAAATAAACATTAGATAATAACAGTGTGCCACCCGCGTTTAAATGTAACGCCAGCGGGCATTAATAACTTGGCTCCAGTCTCGCCCCTTGCGCGGGCACCGGCAGAGGACACTCACGATCGCGAAGTCATCGGTGCCTATCTCGTAAGTCCTGCGGTATCCGATCCCATCCCATGTAGAGCCTAACTTAATATGTGCATCACGAAGAGTCGTATATGGCCAGCACCGCCCAACACCACCGGCCAATCCTATCGCGCATTTAAATCCTACCCAGCATTGTATGTATATCTGAGATGCCTCGAATAAATTGAGTTTTCCACGCATTGACGCTTCGAGACGCCGTAATCCGAGCCTGCCGGATTTAAAAGCACTTATCCTTTTTAAAGATCCCTCCTAAACCTACAAATCAATCGTCCACCCGCACTCCATAAATTAAGAGGCGAAACAATGACCCTAAATTATTGGAGCCGTCTCTTTTATCGGTATTGTTCTTTTTTCGAAACTCCTTACACAAATGAGGCCGGACGACTTATTAGGTTTCGGAATTTCACCTGCAGATCGACAGGGTCGATAGCGCGAAGGGGAATGCGTCGGTCCCGCGACGAGCCCACATTAATTATACTTCCTCGTGCTCGGTGCTACAATGGCGTCAGTAATTGAAGCCGCGTCCCGATCTGCCGACTTGTATCTGCTATTTCATCACTGCGTGGCCGGCGACGGCCGCGACATTTTTCGCTAGCCGTTTATACCGACATTAACATAAAACAAGGAGGCACGGCGAGCCTCCATATTTCTGCTACCGTCGTGACGCGGACGGTATTGTGCCCGCGATACGGATCTCCGGACGCATGCGCACGCCGCAATATTTAGAAGCTGTCTCTTAAATTCGCGTCCGAAGCGACTTAACGAGTCGCATTCTGCGTACGGCGACATGCGATCGGCTATTGTCCTTTTCCTTTATTTAGAACCGTTCCATAACTGGACACTCATTCTGTTCGAGATAAACGACTCACGTTGTGTCAAATGGCTTCATACTAATTTAGCTGAGACTCGGAAACTAGAACTACTTAAGTGGATTTAAATGTTTCATAGTTACCACTTTGTTTCTACGAATATAATCTTAATACAAAAATAATCATTTGATTTAAATATGGAAACGCTTGAGGAAAAATGAATATGACCATTGCAAATATGACTGTGCAATATCCTCAAAATATCTAAAACTCGAAGTCAAATTACATTACTTTGGCATTACATAGTCGTAGCATCGCCGGCGTACATTATCTTGGCTGCGAATGCTTTCTCTAATTTCCCCGGACGTTAATAGGGGGCGACTTTTCCACCGCAGCGTTGACACGTTCCATTATAGAAGGACGCCGGCATAAATACCTTATTGGTGTTGGTCTCCCACCTTCCTCATTACGCTCGAGATCATTAGGCGGTGATAAAATGTGGTCGAGAACGTCTCACACAATCGTTGCATCTGGGACTTGTTTCTGAAGCTAGCTTTATTACTTAACCTACCTTTGAAAGTAAATTTCGTTGATATTTAAACGTAAATTCGGTTGTATGCTTATTTTTTGTTATATCAGAACTCACTTAAGAACTTATCTCTTAAAGTGCTACCAGAATTTTCCCATTTATGTCACATTTAGAAACGGTTTTTAAGGATTATCAAAACTAAGCAATATAATTTGCGAAATTTATAGATTTTTGATAATGTTGCGATTTAAATGTACTCGTACTCGTTTGTTTTACTTTTTGTTATCTTAATGTGTACCTAATTAAAAATTTGTTCCAAATTTTGCTAATTACAAACTCCTTTTAAGGCTTAAGTCTGTAAAGAATATGCAAATAAGCCTTTTATCTGACGATAGCTAGACCAATCTAGACGTATCATAGACCGTGGCTGGAGCCTGCGCTCAAGTGTCGGGGTATGGTAATGAAATCGACATTCCCGAGTTAAAGATGACTCTTTAATGCATCTAAATACGTTATAAAATAGTTAGAATGGGACACACTGTTATTAAAAATGCTCAACTTTAACGAAATATGTATTACTTAAATCGACAGATGACAGATGACAGAACCAAAAAGACCCTTAGTATTTTAACCCTTTTTGGTTGAAATGGCCCAGTGGGAAGAAAAAAAGAGATCGCCGGGAAAGATTGGAAAAAAGCCGAAGATCAGAGACAAATGAATGAATTTGGAGTAGGCCTTCACACCCTCGGGTATCGAATACGAATGTTAAATATAATAACATAAACTTAATGCAATCCTTACTATACCTTGTATTTATTTATTCAATGCCCTGCTAAAAAAATATTAATTGTAAGATAGATTTGATAGAAATCGTTTCCCAATCCTCGCGTCTGTGTGTTCAGTGGTCATTGCAGCGAATGCTTGCGATGCACTTGCGTTATGGTAATGAGATCGAATCCAAAATTGGATGCAGTGTCCAAGAATCAGCATATTTCGATTTATTTACACCTTCATGCAGAAGAATCCTTCGATCAAATATTTTATCATGTTTTACTTAAGTCATTTTAACGATAATTTATAGTAAAAATCTTATTATCATTAAACCAAGATATTAACGCATATATGACGGTTAAGCCCTTTTTCCTTCTTCCTACGTGTTCCTACTTTTCAAAGCTATCGAATTAATTCATAGATACATATTGAGTGCAGAATTTGTTCTCGACAGCGAGACAAAGCGTTCTTATCTAAAGTAATGTAAATATTAGCGTTATCTGTCTGTTTGCTGGTCGCTAGTCACGCCCTCTATTGTTTCTGTTCAATGTTTTTGCAGTGTTTAAATGGCTAAGATATGTAAGATTGTTTAGCTCCATTATTGAGAACGCTCCTAATTCTACATGAGCATTTAATCTCTTTACTACGTCTTATACTTCTTTGTTTATCTATTCTATGATAATGTTTGAAATTACTCTCCTATACGTTTTTATACTATTAAGATTTGGTTCTGTGACTGAATTCTTAACTAGACGCTAATCAAATAACTTCATGACAAAAGAAAACGCGCGACCATAAATACATTCCCTAGATGGCGCTGTCAACCGCCATTGTATATCAATATTGCGCAAATGTATTCCACGTATCGGCTCTGTCGCTGCGCAAACGCATTCACCTGTCTCTCGATGGGGCGGAGCTTCGACCTTCGTTTTTTCCGTCTGTTTTCGTTCTTTTTCGCGCTGTCAGCGGAATTCGGGTGCGATATTTTCCTTTGGAATGCGAAGAAGTTGAGTTATGTGAATGTTAGATGTGATTTGTGGTTTTCGGTTCTCAACAAGGGACAGTATTCGTCAATTTTGAAGTTGATGAATTTATGTATCTATTTTTTGGGCATTATGGAAAGCGGTGAAAAGCGTTTTCATAGAAGACTTGGGTGATATAGGATTTCTGTTGATCCATTGCTGTATCATACGCGACACTAAACTGCATTTTCTTTGTGTGGTCTTTGTGATGTATTAAATTTTTATCTTTACTATTTAGTCATACTGTCCTATCATTTTGACTATTATTTTACTTCAAAATTTGAGCAAGACAAAAATGTATGCTCAGCGTGGTCAGGAAAGGGCTGATAGGCGATGCATCATGATGCATATGCATATGCACGAGAGAGACATACAACAATGAACAATGGGAGCATAAATCAGAATAATTAGTTTTGCTTGAGCGGAGAGAAGTCATTGGTCAAAACGCGAGTGTCCCCGCCCCTTCAGTAAGCGGCGTTAGAGCAGGTACTGAGGATTGGATCAATGGTAGCGTCAGCAATGACAGTGACATATCGAAATCTATCCTTCAATGTCGTTTTATGACAGGTGACGTTGAAATGCTCGGTTTGAAAACCTATACGTTACCTCCACATGTCATTTTGTACATGATTTTCAAGATCGGCAACATCCCCGCTAGCCCACGGGGTTGCAGGTGTACACGGGTGGCGGTTATCGCTTTATTCTGTGACTCGCCTGCTCGTTTACCCATAAAAATGATTATTGTTAATTGATGAATATATTACCAAGATTTCAGTTACTAATTAATTCATTGAGCTAACTGTGATTCGCGGTACAATTGACCCAACATACTATGACATGTGAATATGGCTATATATGAATATTCTACAAAAGGATACGTAAATAAAACATAATTCTATCAACGGCGAACAAATGCCACTCCTAATAAACCGTCTAAACTTCCAGACGTTTCTAATATTTCGAATTTACCTCAATATCTAGTAAAGTAAGGTAATTTCCACTGGAGCCTATCTTATCATAAGGACAAAATAGGTATCAATTAATTACTAATATCAATTGATTGATTGATATATTATGTATAATATCACTGTAGTGATTGATAAGGTTTACGACACATCACCTAACTGTAATTATCGTTATCGTGATATCTATAGGAATATGTAGATAATGTTTTTGCAGATAAAAATTAAATTGGTACGTCGTAATTACATATGAGTTATTTCACCTCAACTTTCGAATTAATACTATAATCGATAATTTTTCAAATCTCTCAATCTAATCTTGAAGTAACATTGCCCTTATTTCTTCAGCCATTTCAAGTGAGGCGATATAGTATATATTTAATAAATGTTAATACCGTGGAGTGCGAAGCGATACATCGACCCAACTCTGCATGCCGGCCATATGCCGACGATTTATATCATATTTTGGCCATACAATGCGCACGGGAGAAACTGACCGTGGTCGGTAACACAGAAGGCAAAAGATCAGATGGCCGTTCACCATCCAGATGGACCGATCAAGTGAAAGACTCATCGTCCTCAACACTGTGCACTGTATGAAAGCCGCAGGGCAAGAAACCCGTGGAAACAGATTGTCCGCTCCAGATGTTTCCTTGCAGACCACGACGCTCAGACGTGAGCGGCTGAAGAGCGGGAATAATTTGTAGTTAAAAAATTAGTTAACCCATTTATACCCATTCTTACGCTTTCGTCTTTTTCTGTCGATGTGTATCGTAAAGAAAGAATATTTTAATTATAACAGTGCTATTATACATATTTTATATCAAAAACGCGACCTTATTTGAGACGAGAAGCTTACCCAGCTTTCATTAAAAAAAGTCATAATAACACAGTATAAGGTCAAAGAATCGTCATCATTTCAAAAACAATAATATGTAACATTTTCTATATTTTCTTAGTAGTTTTAATATAATTTATTATAAATAAAAAACATTAAATGTAGCAAAATAAGACCCATTGCAAATATGTTGCAGTAGACATCAACTTTAAGCCGAGTTGACCATATATTTTTTTCTATTTATTCTTTTTTAATTATTATTATGTTGGTAAGGAATATTTTAAATACTTTATCTACATATTGTGATAAGTGAAATGGGATATTTTAGATTTGCAGTCACTATTTTTCTTTTAAACATATTTTTTTGCTATATATTTATTTGCTGTCGGTACGTAAGTGTCCAAAGCATCGCGTGCTAGCCCATGTTGCTATTGTGAATCGAATGTTTTTCTCTGACTACAAGCATATAATCTGTAAAGTTTTATCGACGCTTCGACCTTTCTACTGTATATTTATATACATTTAGAATTCATGTTGTAAGGTCCATAAAACTGTTATATCTGTATATTACTTAATTATTTCTGTGCCCAATTTTACTGATAATTTAGTCCCAATAGCAACTTTTTAATGATTTTGTGTTCATCTTCTATGGGCATTCGTTTTATAGATTGTTGGTGAAAAGTTGTAAACATCAGCACTTTCACACATCATTTGTATCTGAGCAATATCAAATTCAGAGTTCACACAAGTTTTATTTCCGATTTAATCCCAGAAAGAAGGTTAATGGATCACCCCCGCTGGCTTATACTTGTAATATGAATGTCTATAGTTTATGATTATGTCAGTTTTAAAGTCATA